ACGTGGTCGGCTACGTGGCGTATACGTAATGCCGCCACTTGCATATGTTCGCTTAGTTTTATTCTGGCCCACTTTATGCCCGCACCCTCGCTCCCTTGCTCTCGTTCGTCGGCCTATACATTATGATTTATTTTAATCATGATGCTAAATGATTTTTTTCGGGGATCATCTTTCACTTTTATGACCTCTGACAAAATTATTTTCATGTATATAGTCCCAGGTTTGTAATATCAATAAAACTCACGCACTAATAAATCATAGCGAGAGCGGCTTATTACCATGGAAAGCTCGGCAAGACAAAGGTGAATCTAGTGGATACTTGCTCGAAAACACAGATAGAATACGAGTTGCGATGGTACTTGGATTGGAATGGGAATCTAGAGGACGCTGCCCGGTTTATACATTTTGACGAGTTTCGGCCGGACTAAAAGCATTTCCGTGTCTCCGTATTAGATTTTCGTGTTATTTTATTGAATTGTTCGTTTCTTTTTGAACACAACGAGATTTTTCTGTCGTGGCAACGTCCCTCAAACATATTGCTGCCCCTCATCGAGCTCCATTCGCCCGGCAAATGACCCGCATATGTCTCTCCGGTCCGCCGGACTTTGGCATTGCGTCCGTCTTGAAGGACATCGGCTCGCTCGCAACACGCAACACTTGAGCGGACACATCCGACTGGATTTCAATCTTGTGTGAATATGGATGGGCTCGACTTGAACAGCTGGCGATGGCGACGGCCATGGTGATGGAGATGGAGATGAAGAGAAGTTGGGGCAAACAGAGCTGGCGGGTCAGTGGTGGTGTTCCAGTGGTGCCACAAGTGCGCTTGTTGTCCGCTTGTTGCGCACTGAATTATTTATTAGGCATGTGTTCTCCTGTTTTTGCACTAAGTGTCATTTTGTTGGCCAACAGAATTTGCCTTGTTCCGTTTGGGTTTTGTGTCTGTGTTCGCTCAAACCCTCGGCTTTCTCTCTCCGCCCGTCAAACAAAGTGTGTCAAAGTGCTTGAATATTTTATAAGGTCCGCTCAAATGATGCACACAAATAAAATAAGAAAAGTCTGGAACACAGAAGAAAGAAGGAATATGGGAATACAACACACAAATTGATTTAAAGTTGAGTTCTGCTATCCGTAATTAAACTGGAGATTTGCATAATTGGATTTGCGTCAAATGGAGTGAGAAATGTACTAAAGCCTAGTTCTCTGGCTTTGTTTTGCCAATTCTGTTTCTCCTTCGATTCCGACCAAAAAATCGAGGGGGAAGCACATTCCCAAAGATGCCAGAAAAAATGTGCAAAATTTGCACTCCTCCAAGATTTCATATTTGAGCTCTGGCTCAAACGGGCGCCCAGGCACAGGAATGCAATCAATTTGCAAATTTTCGCTACTTTGCCGCGTTTGCAAATGCTCGAGTATTTGGCTCCTTAGCAGTTTTTCTTGCCTTCAAACGTACATATGTACATGGCAGTATGCATATACTTTTTGTTCCCATTCCGCCTCTATTATTTTCCCCATCGCATTGCCATCTATTTTGTGTTATTTCTGCACTTGGCTGCTTGTCTGGCGCGCATCGAACGCTGAGCTTCGGCCTGTCTATCTGTCTTCGGTAAAGCACTGAAAAAAATGTCGTGCAACTTGGGTTTATCTATAAAAATGTCATTTGTGGAAGAACCAGAGCGTGTACTTATTTTAAGAAAAAGTTTGATGTACCATAGGTATGAATATTTGGATGTACTTGTTTAATTGTAGTTAATAACCAAGTTATCAATAAATAAATAAATAAATCTACGATGCTTTATAATCTGTTTTTTTTTTTAATAAAAAATCATTTCTCAATAAAGATTTATTTTTTTATCTGTATACCTCACTCCCATTTATGCAGCGCTGCTTTTTGTTCCTTGGGGATGCGCGTTATGCAAATGCAGCTCCTCCGAGTCCTGGCCATGTTTTGTTGCATTCGGCATTCCGGGCCAAAGGTGCTGGCTCGCTGGCTTTTTGGCAAATGGCGTAAAAATAGTTCACAGTCCGCCGGAGCAATCGAAGCCATCAAAAAGGGCTCACCGATCATTGGCGCGGGGGAGTGGGTGAAAATGCACTAATGAAAACTAGAACTGGGATTTCGCACTTTCCCGGAATACCTCTGTATGCATGGCTTCTTTTTTCCGACTCCAACATTTTTCGCTTACATTTGCCATGTGCCATGTGTAAAATCGACAAATAATGGATGCCTCTGCCGGCAAAGCGCATTTGAATATCAATTCAATTGAATTCTTTGTGCTGTGGCTGAGGCTGATTCTGAAGATGAGGCGTCTCCTGCTGGGGATGCTGTGGTGCATATTTCCTTGTGGCCGTGGCTCCTTCTTCGGCATCCTGGCAATATACATTCCCCACAGCGTTATGCAAAGGAATTCGTAATGTGGCAATGGCTGTGCGCTAGTGTGTGTTCGCCACCTTATGTGCAATAAATTGCAGCGGAAAATGTTGCATACTTTCAGGCCATGTCGAAAGGAATTTCGACTCAACTTTAACTGCCTTTTCTTTTTGGCTGGTCGGTGTCAGCCGATTAATTAAATTTTTTTCGTTACATGTAATATTCAAGCCTATAAAAACACTTAAAGTCTGATGAATAAAATGACTATTAATATTGTTCTCGCAATGGGTCAGCAAAACATATAAAATATTTACCAGGATGCCTCCAAAAATCAAAAAGGTTTAATTCAACAATACGATATGTTTCGATAAAACAGTTTTGTTTGTGTCTAGTTAATTTGTCCTTTTGAGGGACAAATTACAGATTAGTTACAAAAACCAGATGGAAAATTGTCATTAATTAGCCCGTTTTAAATCAACTGACATGTTGCACTTACTTTTGTATTAGCTTGCTTTTGCCATGTATGCGTGTATTCGAAATAAATTATTCTGCTCACTCATCAGCATTTTGCGCTGTTATAAACACGTTTTTAATTAAAATTGCAAAAACAGGCAAAACATAGATGCGGCAATAAAGGCAGCCATGTGTGTGAGTGAGTGGGTGCCGTGCTGGGGGAAAAATATGATGGCAGCAACTTCAATTAGCACAAAATAAAAGGCAATTCCAAGTAGAACAAAGCCAGCAGCGGCAACAAAGTCACAAACAGACAGAGGCCCACTTTTCTCGGAGAAAGAGACGGGGCGAATAAGGGAAGAGAGAGAGAGGGAAAACGCTACTGGAGCAAACAAAGAGGCGCAACAGTTTTAGCAATAAAATGGCAAACACGTAATCATCGGCGCCTGATAAATGTGCGTGCAAAAACAGCCTTGACTTCTCCTCTTTGAACAGAGAAAAAAAATTCAATCATACTTATGTTGTTTTGTAGTTTCGATTGAAATTTCATTCCTGCAAACAAAAGCCTTTTATAAAAGAATTTCGCTCACATATATTAATTAGCCTTTTAAAATTTGAAACCTCATATCCAAATATAAGAGTTATTACGTATTTAATTTTGTAATGCTTCCCAGAAAACTATTATATTGATACCCTCCCTTATTTGTTACTTTGTGAATTAAAAATGCTAATATTAACTTTTACTGGTTCCAAATCATTGAAATAGATCTTGAATTATTTGCAGCCAAAGCAATAATAAATGTTGATGTTAGTTTTCTCGTTGTGTTGGTGAACAAGCGATACATGGCTCACATCATCGACCTTCGGCATTTGCGCCATATTAATGAACTGGCAAGCCCGCATCGCGTATCCGCCCCGTTCCCGCTTTCATTACGATTCACTCGCAGTTTTGCTATTCAGGCACCGTTCGTCCTGCGAGAGCTCCATAAAATGCGAAATAAATACATACGCTCGTGCAGGGGCTTTGTATGAAAGCATTGCCACTTAGCGGCAGCAGGTTATACAAATTGAATCAAAAAGAAATTGTTTACAATTTATGCCCGCTTTCAAATCACGGGCAGCGCGGTGAGAATAAAATACAAATCCTATTCAAATGGATGCCGCACAGCAGCATGTGTGATTGTGTGGAAATTTGCAACATTTCAACCCCTCACGTGCCACAAATGGGTTTTCCGAGTGTGTGTGAGCTCCAGCAAGGAAGGCATCGAAATTGTCCTCACGTCTAGACATAATTTCTTCAATCATTTATTACCTAATTAAGTGGAAGTATAAATGCCAAACTCAGCATGCCAATGGGCGTGGCGGGTCAAAAGGGGGCGGGCGGTGGGTTAGCGAGCAGAAGAACGGAAGGAGGTCGTGTTATTTTCGTTCTCTTCTGGGCCACCGCCTTTTGTATGCGAATTAACTGGCAAAATTCCAATGATTGACCTTACTCTTTGTTGTTCGAGTATGGGTGTGTTTTTTGTCTGTGCGAGTGTGTGTGTATGGGTGTGCTGGTGCTTGTGGGTATGGGTGTGGGTGTGTGTGTGGAGTGCAGTCGAGTGGTTCCCAGGGAACTTGAGTTTAAGCCATGAAACGGCGTTGCCTTGAGCAAGTGTCTTTGTCTTCGGCTCATCTTTTGTTCCATGGCCCCACACACAAAAGCATTGTGTGGTTGGTTGGCTTTTCTTTTCAGCCAGCTCGCTTTGCTTTTCTGCCGCCGCCTTTTTGCCCTTGTTTACCCTGGCTTGCTGGCTTTCTGGCGAGTGTGCAGGTCTTCTTCATACTGCGCTGTCTTTGTTGTTTACCGCCCCTGATTCCTTCAGTTCGGTTCCAGCACTCCCTGGTTCGCCATTGTATACTCGGCTTTGTTCGCTTCGATAGTGTCACATACTTAGTTGCCGATCGCTGGGAGGCTTTTTGGGGGTCAATAATGAAGTGCACATCGAGAGTCATGTGGCCCAGAAAGTATCTACCAGGGAGCAACCGAAGCCAGAGCCTTTAAAATACATAAGTCGATTTACTTTTAACTTTTGGTTCTTCATTTTTCAATTTGAATAGGTTTCTATTTAAAATATATAAATGATAATATATTATTTTTATACTTACCAAGCGACACAAAAATCAAACTTCATTCTTTACTTTCTATATTTTGTGGTTTTCTTTATTTTTTGTTTCGGTTGTTTTTGTTGTTTCACTTATATTGTTTTTATTACAAATATGCCACGACTTTTCGCTTGTTTTTCATTCGCTTTGCATTACTCCATATTTATATTTATTTTATCTTTATCCGTTTACCTCAATTCGGTTGTATACGCTAGCATAAAGCCCACCTTCTTATAAACACGCACTCGTATGCATTCCTAACATATCGTATATATATATATCATTTACTTTTTAGGTTTCAACTTACAGCTTTAAACTTTAAGTGTGGCTCTCGTATTCCTCATGCATAATTTTCAAAGTATTCCCCCTCTTCTACGTTTATTACGATGCCTTTCTGATTTGCTATCCTCGAATTTATACGTATCCTTGCTACAGATTGCTATTTGAGTGCTAGTTTCCTTTTGCATTTTGCTTGCTTTTTACATTAATGCGACTATTTTGTAATTTGTTTTTTTTTTTTTTTTTGCATTTCCATCTTGTTTAGCATTTTTCATTTATCTTTTTTACTTTAACGGTACTTTACATTGTAGCTACGCTTTGTCCGCACCCTTAAAGTGAGGGGATGAGATGAAACAAAACACTCGACCTGCCACTGATATGCTCCGAACGGAAACTATAACGACTTAGTTGCTGCTTTCGTTGGCCATTAAACGATATGGATAGGATAGCAAATGAACTGAAATCCAATGCCCCAACAATTCTACTAATTTGCTCTATTCCTACCGATCTACGATTTCCATCGATAAGTTAGTGTTTGTTTGGATAGCCTTAAATTCGTCTAATATTTAGCTAGAAGATTTCCCAAGCAGGTTTCCAATAAACTTTACACTTTTCTGCTGTTGCTGTACTTTAGTTTAGGTTAAAGCGTTGCTTTCTCTAGAGGCTATTAAAGTAGTTTCCAATGCTCTCTAACGTTTATAACTTTACGCATATGTATAATAATTTATATATATATTTATTTAGGGGTATATTTGTCTTAGATAAGCTGCGGTTAGTAATAATTTGTGTCAACAGTTTTATAATTTGCAAGGATATTCGATAGTGATATGGTTTAGCCCTTGGTGTCTATATTACACTTTTATTTGTCTAACTCAAGTGCAGGCTAGGTTCTCGCCAGATATGGTATATAGGTAAAGGTATTTTAGTATGAGTATATATATATATTTATGTGTATAAACATAATACATATCGCCGTGTATATGCATTAAGGAAGACATTTTTTCATGATTGTGACCATTTTTAATATGCGCACTTTCACACCGCTCAAGTTCCCTTCAAATGGTCAAGCTTAGACTTAAAGTTTGTAGTGCGTGTGTTGCGTTTGTCTGTGTGTGTCAAACACCCAATTAATATTCATAGAGATTCCATTCACTCAGGTGTTGTTTCTATATACAATATCCCTTTTCTTTTTCTTTACATACATTAATATAAGGCTCAACTGAAGGTTTGTTCAATATACAGTTCGTTCTAACTGTTTACAAAGTGAATGAAATATTTATACCATACTTCATAAGTTTACTTTAGGCTTATGCTTTCTTGTTGTATATCGTTGTAAATATTATGTATAGTTTTGTCATAAAGAACTATGTACAAAAGATTCGAGCATTCGAGGGACATTGTAAGAATTTCGTTTCCGTGTAAAACTCGTTTAGGTGTTCATATTGATATGTACTGTTAGTATTTAATTACGTAAATTGAGTTCAAAAGTGGTAAGAGTATGTACAGCGAACCGAAAAGGTGGCCAGGATTCTGGGGCAAGCAATGAAACCTGTTGAAACGAGGCGAGGTCACGGCTCTCGGCCCGATGAAATTGCGGCAACAATCGAAATGCAGAACGCATAATTGATTATGAAACCGTAATTGTTTTCGCGCCTCCAAACGAAATGGAAAACTATGAAATAAATTAACAATAACGTTTTGCACGCTCATGCGAATTCGAATGCGACTGCGACTGCGACTGCGAGTGTTTAATGAGTTCATTCGCACTCGCACTTGCACGCCTCACTATTATTCGTTTGCCCGGCAGAAGGAAATGCGAGGAGGCCAGACCACATTAAAATGTAATTAAAAGTCAAAAGAGAGCTGGCATATCCAGAAGAGGCACTCACATCCTTTAACAAAGTAAACACAGTTAAGGCGGTTAATAATTCTTTTTAATTGAGGCGGCCAAAAACTTTATAGAGCTTAAAGAGCAAACAAAAACAAAAGGAGCAATGCAATGGGCCTTAATTGTTGTGCGCTGTGTTTTTTTCGGGGCGAGATAATGATGAATGGACAGACGGACAGGGATTATGAGTATTGTTTACCGTACAAAACACTAGCTACGGATAGTACTTAATGCTTATGCCTTCTATATACACACCACATCAAATCCAACTATCGAGTTTTCCTCTGTTATTTGCTAACAATATTATTATGTAGACAGCAGTTTCCGTTCACGTTAAATTATAGATTAATCTAGATGAGTTCTAGGCGTATGTCCTATATGATTTGTATATCCCATAATGCCTCACATACGAGTATGTGTGTACGTATCAAAAGAGACAGCAACATCGTCAAAGGTCAACAACAAAGCTTTACAAAAATCGCAGCTAAACACAGAACTAGCCCCTAAATGTATACAACACATTATGATTATGCTATATGCTATATGCCATGTGCGGCGCCTAAGAGTATGCACCATGTCTTTATAGTTTATAGTTATCGCTATCGCTCCGCATATCGTAACTTGCCTGGCGCCTTTCCACTTTCCCACCGATGATGATCCCCCCACAAGTATCTACTACGTACAGTTATGCAATCGTCCTTGCGCTAATCCTGCGGCCATGCGGCTGTCATGTCGCCACATCGCTCATACGCAGCGTTGTCCAGCTGGAGAGGCATGCCACTGCGAGCATGGCCGCGTAGAGCAGCCGGTGGCATCCGGCAAACTGGCCCGGACCATGTCCACTCCGGGCCGCCGCACTAGTGCTCTCTGGCCAAACGACCTCGACCTCGGACATTTTGAAAATGCTCAGCAGTCGGTGGGATTGGAGCTCACTGTGCTCGCTATTGATTTGATGACTGATGGTCTTCAGTATCGCGGTGCACTCGTCCTGCAAACAGCCAGATAAGCAGTAATAGTCGTTGATTTGGTTAGTTGAGGAAATGGATTTGCTGACGTTACGCACACAGAAAAAAATTAACTACTACTACTACTACTCTACATTTACCTTTACTTTAAATCATTTTAAAACAACAACAGTCTTTATCAACTTATATTCAAATTAGGATTGATTAAGATAAGTTAATGATACATTTTAATTTAAGCTAAAGGCAGGTAAAAATATTTCATTAGAAAAGATTTAAAGCAACTTTAGGCTGCCATTCAAAGAAATTTAAAATCTTCCAAAAATTCTACTGGTTTTTATGAATAAGCCATATGTAAATTAAAATTAAAATATAAAAAACAATAAAATATTTCAATATTCTATCAAAAATACAAATTCCGATATTATTCATATTTTTCCTCTGTGTATCTGAAGAGTGCCTGTGGCTCTTGAGCATACCTTCTCCTTACGCAGCAACTCAATATCCTTCAGTTTGCCGTCGTGCGGCAGGCGCGCAGCAATGATTATGTTTTCCTCGGTCATATTGAACAGCGTGAGGGTGCACTGCGTCTGGAATAAGGGGGAATGAGCAATCCGGCAACGGAATGCAATTAATATATTGCTGGCCTTACTTTATTATGCGTTCGCTCGACCGACGGCTTACCTGATTATCGATGTATGTGGTTACGTACTGCTGCAGGGCTCGAACGGCATCCTGCACCCCAAGGTTCGTGTGGGGCCTCAGAAGCGCCTCGTCCGCTGCACTGTAGCCCAGCAGCAGGAATATCCCACCTGCAACCAAGAGAGAGCACGAAATATAAGCGAGTGCAACATCAATTGCAGCAAACGTAATTTACTGCCGGGATCCGCGCTCGAAAACGCACGCAAGTGCCATGTGGCAAGTGGACAAGAGCCACGCAACCTTGCTGCCACAATAGTCCTTTTTGTGTCAAATACGCTCCAAAGTGGCTTTTCTGCGAAGGAGGTGCTCTGACAAAGGCTTTAAAGGAATGTGTGCGGGCTGCACTTGGAATGCAATCGGCTTTTACTTTGTCAAGGTGTTGGAAAAAGGACATTTTTTATAAAGGCAAAGCACCACAAGAAATATTGCAGGATTTTTTAATCTAATTAAATAACATTAAAGCGTGAAAACACCATTTTGATAAAATTATATAAATTGGATTCTAATGAATATTTATCTTTTTCTTGTATAAACAGGTTGAATTCAATAAAAAATAAAAAAAATGTCTCGCAACCAGAAGTAAATAAAGAGCTCGTAGATCAATTAAAAATATATATTTATAAATTATATATAAATCATATAAAAATTAACAACAAATATACATTAATCATGTACACATTCTTGAATAATTTAGGGAAATATATTTTCAAGGAATGTTGTCGAAAATATTTTCAACACCTGATATAAAAGTATTTAATGTGAGATAATAGAAATTCATTGACCTAAATAACAACAATGCTACAACATTCAACTAAAATATATTTAAAAAACAATACAAATAATGGTTATTAATTCATGATGCCTGCTAAAACTACAATTTAACAAATGGTCAGAAATAAATTATAAATTGTGGGTTAGGTGTAAAACGGTCTTGTATTTCAGACATCAAAACCGCCACTCCTCTAACTTAAAGGAAAAATTGAAATTTGCGTAGTGTAGGATTCTGGTTGAGTTCTCAGGCAGTTGCACACAAAAATGCTGCAGCATTCCTTCGGACAGCCTTGCCTCGTCATCGCCTGTCGCCGGCGATAATCGCTAAGTGCTTAACGCACAGCGAACCCGACACGCCACCGCAGAGGCGCCGCAATAATGCAGCCGGGTGTATATCCTTTTCAGCTGAAAGGACCAAGGAGCGGGAAAGTGTTGGAAGTGGCAACTCACCTGGCAGAATGTACTCCCCGAGCGGCGGTTTCATGCAGATGAAGCGGCCCGAGTAGCAGAGGCAGCGGCCGCGGAACGCCTGGTAGGCGGGGGAGGCGTGGCTGTAGAAGGCGAGGGCGGTGCGGCAGGGGGCGAACGGGACACAGAGGGCGTGGCAGGTGAGGGTGAGCGACTCGCCGCAGCTGCACAGCTCACTGCACTCGACGTCGTCCAAGGAGTAGATCTGAAACGAAGCAATTCCCCCGAAAGGCGATAAGTGAAGGAACAAAGAAGCATTGTGCGGGCATATTACGTATACGCCAGGTGTAGTCATAATTAAATGATGGCACAAACAAAAGCGAAATTTATTTCTCCTCCCCTTCCCATTCACTTTGCAAGCGGAATTCCTATTTATATTTCATGATTCCCTATTTTCCCAAGCACGTGCCAACACACGAATGCAACGCACGAATCCAACTTTTCATACGGATATTCTCAACTTTGAGCTGCCTGGTTGGCTGGCCACTTCTCTCCGGCTTAACTTTTAGTTATGTAAATGCGCTAAAAAGCACTTTCGCAACAAAAGCCCGCAAGAGAAATAAGTGAAATATTAATTTGCACTTATTCGGCTGCGTACTTGCCATTTCGTTTAAGTGCGGTAATAAATAAAGCACACTTAAATGTTTGCAGTATTTTATACTCGACTGCAATTGTGTTTGATTTGGATTTAATTTACTTACTCGCTTGCTGCTGCCTTCTCGAATTAGTTGATCCGACTGACGAGGTCGCTGCACAACACAGTTTCCTGCAAGCAAAATCATATTGAGAGCTTAATTGATGGAATAATTCATTAAACTAATTTGATGACACAGAATGCTCATTCGCCAAACAAGTTTAACACCTTTAATGGAACTTAATTCTCACTTTATTTGCACAATGTTATTTGGCTCGAAGCGTGGCTCTTTTGTTGGCGGCAAGGTCTTGACTTCGCACCACCCACAGCGGACACACGTCCCATTTTTTTTTGGTGGCAGGCAACGTACACAATGCGACCCTGCCACTCATGCCCAAATAACGGATGTCCGCCACTCATGTGGAGCATTCATCATGTCATCAACGCCATTACGAGTTTTTCCTGGCCAAAAAGTTTCGTTGGCGAAGGGGCGAATCACAAATTTGCACATGCATGAACACTTGAGAACGGAGTTGAAGTTGAAGACCTTGCCACTTAATTACAACCAAAGGGCACTTAAAACTGCCACGATGCGACTTAACTGGCACCTGGGGCTTTGCCATCCCATCCCATCCAATCCAAATCCCTGTTTTGGCCCAACTTTGCCAATAAAGTCGCCATAACATGCACATTAATAATTAAACCTTACCACACGGGGGTCGACAGTTTACAATGCTTAAATATAGTTTTAAATCTCCGCCTCACTGCACGAGCAAAATCAATTATAGATGAGACACAAACAGGTTCAGCTGCGGGCCAGAAACATTTCATGCAAAATTCAAAGCCAAATGTCCCAAGTGTCTAAATAATTACAACGGACGAGCTGACCACACGGGATGACGAACGGACTGACAAACTGACGGACTGACTGGCTGACAAAACGGATGGACTGCTGAACTGACGGACTGATGGACTGAATGAGTGACGGTGGGCAAACAAACAAACTCATTTACATTTTTAATGATGTTTGTAAACACGTTGCGACCCCGGAGTCCCCGTGATAAATGAATGGACAACAAACGATGGCCTCGGCAGGAGGTTTTAAATAACGGAAGTATTATCACAATGCAGCCGAGTGATATGTGTGCGTTTGGCATTCGAAACCTAATCGGATTTGGCCATGTTCTAGCTTCGCAAGAATCGGCTCGGAGGTCCCTTCATGCATTTTGGCGCACATATTTGCGTAGTAGTCGAATAATTGCCACATGGGCCGAAAGCAAACTCATTTCCGGTTATGCGTATGGTTGTGCGGGTGGGGTAACCATTGCGGATACTGAATTTTGAATGATCGGCGCACAAAATATTAAAATAATAATCACGACCGGAGCTGAGTTATGCTTTCAATTAGCCAAACAACCGCAGTCACCGCATCAATTATGTTTAAAAGTTCGAAACGGAAACGATACCTAAAAGTACAAAAATTAAGAGTGATGGGTGTGCACATCAGAAAAAATAAACCTCATTATGAGTATTATAAATTCTTTTTTGCTTTGGCACTCTGAATATGATTTTTTTAAGCTCCAAGAAAAAAATCTATTTACAGTAAAACTAAAAAAAGTTTTAAGTTAAAGAATATTTCTATTCTTAAAGGAAGAACAAATCTTACCCTGTATATTTAAAAAAGTTCAGTACTCAACTATATTCTGGGTTAAGTACTAAAATAAAAAATAGTCTAAATTTTTTGTGCATTTAAAAATAGTATCCTTGCATACATTTTATTTCCTACTTTTAGCTTAAGTTGTGTGATTTTTATTTTAACGTAGATCTCTGAATTTAAAAATCAAAGGATGTGTTCTGTTTATTTTGTTAAGTATGTCATCTATTTAATGAATATTAAGCTGGCGAAAAGTTTAGAATACGCACAAGAGACTCCGCCAATGTTTGTCTGCCTTGTAATTGAGGGACAAAGGAAATACATTTTCCGGACAGGTTCGACCTGAATTGGATGCCCAATTCCGACTCACTGGGCGGTCCAATTTATAACCGACTTGCATTTACTTACTCGGGGGCTGTGTTGTTGTCGTGGTGGCCATTGTTGTGGTTGTTGTGGTTACCGGCTCCGTGATGCTGATGCCCACAAATTCTGTTGTTTCCCTTGGGTCGACGAAAATTACTGGATCATCGAAATCTACACTGCTGCCACGTCCCTTTCCGCCATTTTTACGTCTGCCGTTGCCGTTGCTGTTGCCGTTACCATTGCCATTTCCATTTCCGTGTCCATTGCCGTTGCCGTTGTGATAATCGTCATTTCCGCCATTTCCGCCGCTCTCGACATTTACGCTGGGCAGCGGTATTGAATCGGGTGGATCGAGATAATTGTGTTCCACCGATGTTGGCTCTGATTTCTCCTTTGGCTGCCGTTTTTAACCCATCCACATTTTTTGTTGGCATTTTTTTTTGCGTTTTTTTTTTTTTTTTGGTTTGGTTTGGTTTTGCGTTTCGCGGTTTTTCAATTTTGTTGCATGTTTTTTATTGTTGTGTTTCATATTTTTTGTTTCGCATTTTTATTTATTTATTTGCATTTTTCGTGGTTTTTGCGGTTCATTGTTGCAATGTTGTTGTTTGTGAGGAAGAGAAAAGATGTTAAAGAGTTTGAAAACGAATGCGGATATATATATTTGTGTGCTGGCGGGGTTTAATCTTTTTGCCGCTCCGGCTGCAAAGGCAGCTGCATTGGCTGTAGGTCGGGAATTGATTGCTTTGTCGGTTTGCCAACCCGAGGAACTGGGCCACAAGCAGCAACTGTAACAGAAATTCACCAGCACCAGCACCCACACTCGGAAAAAGGTGTATTATCATGAATTATTATGATTATTTTTTGAAGATAGGTAACTATAATTTGGAGTTTTATAATTCCAATGTTAATAAAGTTGTTGGACTTAGAACAAAAAGATAATAAAATATCTAATTTGGTTTTAAAGAATCCTTATGCTGATCCTCTAACTTCACTGGCTGTTTACTATTGTGTTCTAATAAAATGCAATATTCAGAAAATCTTTATAAATGTTCGTCAAAAGCAAACGAATACATTTTTTTGTGCTGCTTGAATTTTTTTTATCTGTTTGAATATTTTTCTTATTTTTTTTAGCCCTCTCTATTTGGTGTAACACTTTCAAATTTTCTCGAGTGCAGAATACTGTTGGCCGGAGCAAAACAGAGTCCGGCGCTGAATTCGGGGTGTGGACTTTGGCTTGACCTGGCATGTTGTGTGGCATATTGTCCGCTTTGTCCGTACGGTCGGCCACGCCCCCGCCGCCCCATTTGAGTCACTGATTGAGTGCTGATTGGAAAACAGAAAACGAACCGACGGACGACCTGATGGACTGATGGTGGGGCGGGGGAAACCGGACGGACGGGACGAACGGATGGGGGAATTTGGCACAGGTAACTGTTGTTGATGCTTGTTAAAATCGAACGGAGCGGGACGATTTGAATGGGATCAGATCGACCACTAGTTGACCGCAGTGGGGCAATTAGGACCCAAGGGGGAGTATCCGACGCCCGGGCAGGCACTCACCGCAATGACGTCCTTGAAGATGTGCGTCGCCGGCTTTCTTGGCGTCTGCCTTGGCTGCAAACTGGTCGTCGTCGTTGTTGTTGTGGTGGGCGGCGGAGGGGGTGGCGGCGCTCGCGTGGTCGTCGTCGTCGTTGTTGTTGTCGTCGTGGTGGTCGTCGTCGTTGTGGTGGTGAGGAAACCGAGCTCAGCCAACCGCTTCATATGGAAATCCTTTTGAGCCTCAACTGTCAAGATTCGAAGATTGCGTGCGTTAATGAGCGAGCAGTCACATACAGAGAAGGTGGTTAAATAATTGTGAATGAAAGTCAAAAGACCATTTAACAAGACATGGAATCATCAACAAATTCGCAGTTTCAAATAAGAAAAACAAGAAACAAATTTATTGGATATTTTAAGGTTGATGTTTGGTATATGTTTCTTAAACCAATTATAAAATTCCCATGGTTGATTGGTAAAATATACAGGTTTGCTAGAACTTATATGGAAATAAGTCTTTATAAACAATAAAGCAGCAATAAGGGCTTTTTATTTTTGTATGCTTTTTCTAAGTGTAGCAACCTTAGTCGGTTTGTGTGACTTACCAACACAAGGGTTCATCCAGAGAAGACGTCTCCATCCCACACATTGGTACAGGTGCTGGGGATCTGTTCCCTGGCAGGCACAGGTGGTCCTCAACATGGTGCCCAGAATGCCAATCATGGCCGTTCGACAACCACTCGGTCTGCCTGCGCATTTCTTGGTCACGCTGTCCACAGCGCAGGCCTGCTCGTAGTACTCCAACTTTAATCTGTTACAGGAAGCAAAATAAACATAGGATATGAAGTGTAAAATAAAAATAAACTGTATTTTGCTTGGGTTAACATAAAAGTTTTCAATTCAGTTTTTTATTTACTACAACTTGCACACTTTAATAAAATAAATATTCTTAAATTTCTCAAGGTGTAATGATAAGCAGCCACGTAAACCCCAAGTAAGTCAATTGAAGAAACTGACATCCCCTTCCCCACCATGGAGGCAGTGCCTGTGGCGATGTCTTCGTGACTGTCATGCGCCAGTTAGCTGCAGATGCAATTCTCCTGGCCGAAAGCTCCCCACTCTACCAGAGATTCCGGTGATAAGTGGGCCGTTACCTGCACTGCAGCTTCTCTCTTACCTGAGATTGATGTCGGCCAATTTGTGCCGGCATTACTCTTGGCATCCTACGGCATTTCGTCGTCTTGGGACGAATACCCATTCTGCAACCCCATCAAAGCGACTTAATTTATGAGGCCCCAATCTCAGGCATTCGGGTGGTGATTTTTGGTCAAGTGCCATGCGACGTATGCGTAATATTTCAATTGCAGCTTATCGACTCAAGGCGATGACTTGGGCATTCCAATCTGATTGGATGTTGCCTAATTGTGGTTGCAGTTTGGGTTAAGGTGTCTGCAATACTCAGCGTTAATATCACGTTACAATGGACAAGGTAAAGCGATTTCTATTCAAATGTATATCTGCTTATTCAGTTTGCGTATTGTTCCATTACTATAATAAACTCAATCTTTGTAGATTTAATGGATGATAATTTAAAAACCTTTTTAGGAAATACTTTCGGTATAGTTATTAAAGATTATTTTTCTATTCAATTGACTCCTCTGCAGCAAAAAAACCATTTAACCTCACTTTAGTTTTTAGGTTGCAAGACCTCTTCAGAAAAACGCTTATAAAACGCCACGCAGTTTTTCATGGCTTCCATGTTTGAGAAAGTTTCTCTTTGGTCGTTTGCCAACAGAAGTTTTGCAACCTTAAAAAGTGAATAGTTCTATATTTCCACCCTCTTATCTCAATCCATGGCTGACGCAAAAGCCGAGATTTTCTTGCGCTTTCTTGGTTGGCATTACGCAACCAACGTTTTGTGCAACCGAAGGTGCCGAAGTGCAGTTTAAGACGTCAGGGCTGCAGCTTCGATGGCAGCCAAACAAATGAGCATTCCCTCTGCTCGAAACACGTTCGCAGAGGCACGTGTTGGCGCACAACGCGTCGTATACGTAATAAGTCAACATAAGCACTCCACACGTTGCCTGCAACTTCTCGGAGGCCCCTGGCTTTGCCCCCTATTTTGCCCCTCGCCCCTCCGGTTGAAGCATACAAAATGAGCGTCATTAGTCCAATTTAGTTGTTTACCAAAGCAAGTGCGATTCACTTAAAAGGCAATTAATTTTCACAGCCACAGCTACGACCACGTACTTTGCGGTCGTTCAGCCGTAACATGACAACAAACAAACAAACACCAACACCACCACCACCCTCGAATGGCGAACCATCCTCCATTTCTAAGCATGTGCATCCGAGATGGAAGCTGGTGGGTGCTGCATCGTATTTATAACTCAACTTTGTGTTTGACACATTCACGCGGTCTGGCCTGCAAGTTTCAGCAGCCGCCTCCTAATGAAGAGCTGCTCCGTGGAGATTGAGGAGTTTCCCTCGGCAAACTGGTAATTTTATGCCCCGCTTCCCGGCAACTACGGAATTTGGGAGCAGAATACCGAGCTCCGGCAGCCAACCAACTAACCCTCACCCGTGGCACGGTGTCAGTTTAACGAGTTCGGCTGAGTGCCATCAAAGTTGCGGCTTGCGCTGACTTTGCCGTGGCTAAACGCCTCTAATTCAATATCGAGGCGCGCCCGAGACTAAATCTATGAAATTCAATTTGGCTTAATTGAATTTGGGGTTAAATTAAAAACGCTTTTTTGGCAGTCGCCTATACGGTAGTGTACAAGTTGTTTCCTGATAAAAGTTTTAAAAAAACAAACCAAAAAAAAAAAAGAAGTTAGAAGAAGTTTTAGGAAACTAGCTTTAAATTTGGTTCTCAAATTAATAAGTCCAAAAATGTCAACCAAATTATAAATATATATTCAAATAATTATTTTTTTAAGTCAATCTTTTATTTTTTTACTTAAGCAACCAAAAATAAGAGGTTTTGCTTTTAACTAACTGTAAATAATGAATTAGCTTATCCTTAATTTTACCTGTTTACCTCTTTTTCAAGAAAACTTATAGTTTTTTGTACCATTCTAAATGGCTAATACTTTGACATTTGTTAATAAATATTTATCTATTTATACAAGGAATACTTAAATAAATATATTAGAATTTAAAGAAAATATGACTTCCTATTTAATTATTTATTTCCTAGTTAGATATTTCCTATTAAAACTTTTATTACAATATACATTAAGGAGTTTGAAGTACTTTAAGGGTTTCTCTTGTAAATGGAAAAACACAAATTAAAGCTTTTCAGCATTTAAAATATTAAAGCAGTTACAGTATTGGTAATGCAATAAAAGCAATAAACAACACAAATGCTTGCACATTACCACACCAACGCGGTCGGGAAATATACATTGAATCGTGCATATTTCCGGTTCCGTTCGACGCTTAAATCGCGCCCGATTTCTGAAATATGACCCTTGACCCACCTGCACTCGCGGTCCTCCTTGCAGCTGTCGGCGACCACGTGACAGGCGGGCGGTGGATGGTAGTAAATGCCGTTGGAGCTGGCCGGATTACTGTTATCGGGCGGTCGCTGTGCGCACACTGGATGCAGTTTTTCCTGTGCAATCATGCACATGTCGTGCCGATTGCCGTTCCCATTCCCGTTCTCGTTGCCATTGCCATTGCCGCTCTGCAGGCTGCTGGTTGTTTTTCTGAAACCGGGTAACAATGGGTTTTCGTTGAGTTCCTTCATGCTGCAAGCCACCAATCGGCTGCCCAGCCACTTACTTGCATAGACAAAAGGCGATGTCCAGGTTGAGGTCCTCGTGGGGCCCCTTGTAGAAGGCCTGCAACGAGGACATGCACGCGTTGCGATTGCACCTATGCAGCTCGCAGTGCGTCAGCATTGGCTGCAGGGACGATGAGCAGGACGGATCTTCCCGGCAAGTGTCCAATGCCGTGTGACAGGTACTCTGAGCGGGGAGAGGTGCATCGGGAGAAATAACGCATTAAATCAGTAATTTGTAATGGCTACCTTTCATATGAGTATAAATTTCTGGGCAATAAATAAACCCTTTGATCATAACAGCACCATTCTTAAATAATGCAATAAATAAAGTACACAAAATCAACATCAGCACTTTAAGGATTCTCAAGATTATTTAAACATACCAAAAACTGTTATACCGATATAAATGAAGGAAATTTGCAGACAAACACTAGTAATCAATAGAGACTCACACGTAAATCTTAAGAGATTCCGAAATATAATAAATGTAATCAATAACAACAAAAAAATTGTCGTTAATTGTCATTATGATTTTATGAACCGTTGAACAAGTGTTTTATTAAAGAAATCAATTTTATAAACAGGTTATAAGTGGTGCTTAGAACTTATCCTGTGTTGCTCCATAATTATTAAAATTAGTTTTATGTAAAATATAAATATATATGTAGGAACTTAATAAAGCTATAAATACTTGTAACTAAACGATTTTAATTTGAATATTAATTTGATTTTAACATCTTTAAAATTGATCAAAGGTTTTATGTGTTCAAATAAAATTTCAAGTATAGTTTTAGTCAATAAATGGGTTTTTTTGCGCAGTGCTCTGTAATAAACGGTACAAATTGTGTGAGCTGCACTTTGCATTTTCCATGACTCGTTTCGGGGCTTTTCTTTGCACTCACCTGAAAGTGTTGCTTGATTATTTCCGTTGAGAGGTCAACTTCGACATCCTGACCACCTGCAACCGGCCAAACGTGCCCAAGTGCGTCAGTTGCATTTGCATTTGCATTTGCATCGAGTAAATGTCGCCCAGGGGAGTCGGTCGATCGGGGAGTTGTCGTTTTCGTTGTCGATGGAAAGAGATGGTGACCGCAACGGAGATGCGTAGAGAAAATGTTTGAAATAGTTCATTAGTTTTCGATTTGCGCAACCCTTTTCCAGCATATTCGATTCGGATTCGGAATATGGAATACGGATTTGCCATTGACACTCCGGCAATCGCACACCCAAAAATGTCCCATGCCGCCTGTCCCCAACCAACTTGGCCAACTGCATTAGCTGATTTAATCCAATTGGGTTTGGTTTAAGCTCAATCATCCAGCTTTTTGTGAAAATGAATTGTAAAATCGCTGATTACGCCAATCGAGAGTGGATGGAATTTAGAACTAATTAAAATGTTGAACTCATCGACAGCTTTTGTTTGTGCATATATGCCGCTGCGAGGTCTTAATTAATTTCATTTATTTATATCCGTTTTCAGCCTTTTATTAGCTTATTCACTCTCAATTGGCTCATTTATTTATGGGATTCAGGTGTAATTCACACATTAAGCTGAATTGAATGCCTAACTGAAGGCCAGAAAAGTGTTTTCGATTATTGAGAGCCCAAATGCCTAATCACAACTCAATTACTATAACATTTCCATGATCCACTTTTAATCGGAATATCAATCAGCAAGGCTGGTTGGTTTGGGCGACAGGAGCTATCGATTGCATTTTAATTAACCAACTTTTTGTTCGCTCTTCAGTTTCAATTGGTAATCACAAAACGTTCAAATGCCACCGCACCCCAGCCCCTCGCACTTGAACCAAAAACGGATAGAAATTATTAAATCAAAATAACAGAAATGCACATAAATAACGTAAATGAAATGCAAATATTCCACAAATTTGTTTATTGCCTATTACTGGACTGGAATCCGGGGAAGGCTTTGAGATTGAGAGTGAGATTCAACTGGGAGTTGGGGGATAATACTTTCAAGAGTTTAGGGGCGTGGTCGCAGGGTCTGCAGGGCTGGCAAAACACAACTAAGTTCTATATATGTATATGAGAGGTATATTTTATTCGACTTTAAAAACTACCAAACCTACTGATAAAAACATTCTGTTTTTGGGGGGATCGGCAACGATATTCTAGCGTTAGACTGTACTCCTTTGTGACTGTGTATTTTAAGGGGGGTTATGATTTATTTATTGGGTTTGCCGGGCTCCCGGCTCGGGACTCATGATTCTATGCTAATGTTCTGACGACTGTGAGAATGTGTTTCTTTGGCATACTTTATTGGTTTTCTGTACTCTGTGTGTGTGGTCTTGGAAATGAAAACATAAGCGCGACGCTGCAGACTCAGCAAAATAAAATGAATTTCTGCTTCGGAAAAATAAAATGAGAAGGTACGAATGTAAACGCAAATAATTAGATTTCAAACGAAAGTAGGAATAAGCCAAACAGAAAGTCGAGCTGCGGCGGAAAAGCAAAGGAAAATGTCTTAAAAAATCAATTTATATGTTTTCTTTTTGGGGGAGAATTTCGCGACAGCTTTTAGCGAATTCAACCTCGGTCTGTTTCGAGAATCAGGTTGAATAGAAGTCCCGAAGAAGGAAGTTTTTGATGTTTCGGTGGCTTTGTTGTATGAGACAATGAACTCGATGTCTTGTGAACTTGAATGAAAATGTATGGCACAAAGGTTTGCATTGGAAGGGGTCTTGGTTCTCAAAAAATTTGATCGAAAACGCTTTAATTGTTATGTTTGATTGTAGTAACAGTTATTGTTTGGATTCAAAAACTGGGTGCGTTGGAAAAAATTTGAAAAAGTGTGCTGGAATTGAATGTAACAAAATTGGAATGGTTTTCTTTGGTATTTTTTTTTTTGTTTTTGGTTTAAGTTTTAATATATATTTTAGGAAAAAAATCAAATGAATTTTGTTTAGGTTTTGGTTTTGTTTAGGGTTTTCATTTTGCTCACTTAACATACGAAAAAAGTTAGTATCGAAAATATTCACAACTTGTACATATGTAAGTTTCTAATTCCGTTTGAATTTTCTAGAATTTGTTGTTAGATAAACAAAATGACAAACAAAATTCATAGAAAGAAATTGTTTTTAAACGCATTGGAAGCAAATTGTTTGGTTTAAATTTTGTTTTGATATATTTTTTGTAGAAAAATTTCAAAAAACTCTCAAAACAAATGGCAAGCTACTTTAAAAGAACTGAACACAAAATGAATTGAAAGAGCTCGAGATATGTAAATATTTATATATGTATAGAAATTGTAAAGTATAAATTGTTTGTTGTTGTAACTATACTTAAGTTTCATTTGGTTTTTATCGTTTGATATAAAGGTTTAGCGATTGCCAAAAATTATGCACAAAGCCAAGGGGCGCACGCATCGCGCCAAGTTGTATTTATATGTATATTCACCTTTAACACAAAAGCAAAAATTTGAATGAATTCAATGTTAGTTTATTCAAAAAATTTACCTGCAACTCGGGGTGTTTTTGGTTACAGGGGGACGGCACAAAACGGAAATCATAAATAAATTCACAGAAATCTATCTAAAATGGTGAACGAACGAACAAAATGAAACAACGAACTTTTTGCCTGTTAATTAGTTCTAGAAGTTTGCACACACATATCTGGATTTTATTTGGCTGTGTGTGTGTGTACTGCTGCGTATTAATTGATATATATATATATATAAATATATTTTTTTAATTTTTTGCTTGGTTGGTTTGCAGTTAGTTGGTCGTGGATTTTGTTATTTATGGATTACGTTCATGCTAATACGTGTACACATACTTTGGTAGTAAACACCGGCATTTCCGTTTCCGCCGTAGCCCAAGCCCGTATCAATGATATCGAATGGTTCATTATCGACAGCCGCCGCTGCCATGTGCCGCTGATGGAAGCCGCTTATATTGAACGGATAGCTGGGCACGCCGTGCATCGAGCCCGGATAGTTATAGCTGCCGGACAGGCCCATGCCCATTCCCATGCCCAGTCCGTAACCGGAAACGGATCCGGATGAGGTGACCGTGCCGGAACCGGAGCCGGAGCCCATGGCTATAAGTGGCGTATCAATTAGGGCCAAATTATCATTGAAGATTCTCTGATGCAGTTTCTCGTCCATTCCCAATATTCTTACTGCAATTTGAGGTTAGCAAGAAGAGAGAGGGTAGAATTGTTGTAGTTGTTGTTGTGGTTGTTGTTCAGTGCCATCTATATTGTTGTTTGATTTGTTGTTATTGTAGTTGGAGTTATTGTTGTGACTGTAGTTGCAGCTACGCAGCATTTGAGTTATCCAATCAGATTCGCACAAATTTCTGTATACATTTTATTTTGTAGCACTTGCCTTTCTTACAATCAATTTTATTGCTATTAGTATACTTTTTATTGTACGTATTCAACAAAAAAAAAAACATCGCTTGTAAAGAAAATGATATTTTTCGAATGCCGAAGTTACTTGGCACAAAACAAAAGAATTTCCATTCGAAAAGAAAACGAATACAGATAGTGTCACCGAAAGGAGAGAAAAAATTGAACAAACATACAGAGGAGAGTGTGAGCAGAACGGTGCCAACAATTATCGTTTAAAATTAGTGCAGGGCAGGCGAGTAAAACGTTTTGCATTGAAAGGGAAAAAGAAACTGAAACGGATTCGGATTCGGAGTCTGAATTGTTTTTAGCTCCCCAATCGATTTCCATTACAGGTTTTGCGTCTCGTCATGCTCCGATTGCCATTTGCTATCAATGGCAAAACATAAACAGAAGACAAACAGGAGCGCCTGTCTCTGTGTCTGTCAAATGTCATGCGCTGATAGAGCGGCCAAATGGCAAATGGGGAGCGGTTGGGGCTGAAAACGGTTTGCAACCGCAGCAGTGGCTGCGCCATCACCACCGACAGTCAAAGAAAAAAATTTATTTTTATAGTCGTGTCAAATATTAAGCTTTTATAACTCTAAAACCCCTCATTATTACAAAGAGAATAATTTCCATTCTACTGTTTTAAGTTGAATAATCGTTTTTCTCAAAATATTTAAAACAAAATTTTTTTTCATCTTCGAATAAAAAACACACAACATTTTGTTTTAATAAGTTATTAATTGTTTTTCTTTGTTACGTTACTGAAATAAAATATTTTACTTTATAAGGTATAATCATTTTTACCCTTTTATTCAACTATTTACTTCTTTACTATTAATTTCTTTAAGTATCTATAAAAAACAGACCACCTTAATGGTAACTTTTTTTGTGCCAGTGCCGGAATGGCTTATCTCGCCGAGAGCACGCCGAAGTGCGCTTCATTTGTGGCGTCTGGCAAAGCTCAAAAGGATGCCAATCCCAGGACCCCAAGCCCTCTCCCCGCCGGAATGTCTGGGAGTCCAGTGCTGGCGCTAAATGGCCAAGGATTTGCCAGGATACGTGCGACGTACTTATGTTTGTCGCTCCCTCCGCCATCGCAAATATTTGCACAATAAACGATGGCCTCGGGGAAGGGAAAGGGGGAGGGGAAGGAGTGAGAAATGTCTTGGGAGGGTGGCTTGAATGGGATTAGCTCCGTTTGTTAACTGTTATCGCGCTTGTAAGCCCCTGTCGTCGAGTGGATCTGTGTCATCTAATTGTTGCGTATACGCGTTGCCTTCAATACAAAACGTTTTCAGCTGCACTTGGTTAGGGTCATTGCATGCCATTCAACAGTGTACCAAAGCGCAGAATTCCTATAAAGTTGAGTTTGCCGCAAGCGGCACACACATAAACATTAATGTAAACACTATGTGTGCAGATACGGTGCGCGAAATTTAAACAAACTCATAAACAACGGAAATAAATTTTAAGAATGTGCAATAATTTGAAAATTACATTCTGGCCAAATGCTTATGTGTCTGTGTGTGTGTTTGTGACGCTAGAAACGCGAATGTGTTTGCCGGGTCTACGACTGCCATATCAAATAGCCGTGGTTTTCATGCCCTAATTGGGAAAGCCGTGAGCAGCTGCATCACACAGATACGCACACCGATACACACATGCAAGCGCTCACTCGCACACGAGCGGAGGTGCTTGGAATGGCGGCGAAATAGGGTTTGTGGCATCAACAGCGCCCTTTGCTACTTCTAAGTGGATTGTACAATATTATGAAAATATTTATTGCACGCAAACATTGTGCGGATGTATCCCATATAGCTGGCAATGTGGGTGGTGCTCTCGAGGGCGGTGGTGCGGTGGGTGGTGCTCGGTGGTGGGTGGTAGTGGTGCAAGGGTGCTTAGCGAGCGTGTTTGCTTCATTTTGTTGGTGGCGCAATGCTGACAAATCGCTTTATTTGCTTTTTAGTTGTGCTTAATTAAATTTTCAAATTGAACGCTCAGCTTAATTTTTATACACGAGCTACCCATTATCCATGAAGCGTGCAGGAACTTCGTTTAACTAAATTATGTGGGTGTCAGTTAGTTTACAGATTACTTGTTTTTTGGTTTAATGTAATCGGTAGTTGTTGGCAGTAAACTGATTTTAACGCTGTTATTTCAATTTAATGCAACATGTAGAAAAAACAATTTGCCATTAAAGTGAAACTAATGTAGAACCAAGGTACAATTGATTAGGTTTTGAATATTGAAACTTTTAAGCATTTAAGCTATTTCTGTTTAAACGGTACAAAAGCTGACGATTCATAAATCAAAAATCGCTACATTGTTTATTTATTTTCATTGTCTTATATATTTACTTTATAGTGATGTTGTTGAAGCCATTTCAGAAAATTTAATGCCCTCGAGGCCACTGACAGTGTTTATGCTTCGCATTTTAGAATCCAATCAGCAACAATAACAATTCAATTTAAATATCGCCGCTCAAATAAAAAGAGCTGCTGAACGTTTGCCTTTAGCTTAGATATTTATGCACATATCACGCTGCGCTCGGCACAAAATTCAGCCAAAAATCTGATAACTCGGCTTATTGTTATGGTGGCTTGTGTTGTTAATTTACTGGTCGTCATAAACGTAAATAAGGCAAGTGTCGGTGAAAATGTATGCAAATCGTGCGCGGCATTGTGAGTGTGTCAGTGCGTTTGACGTGCATAAATAGTTTGCTAATATTTACAGCAATCCCATAGCTCGGCAGCTGCAACAATAGACAAAGCTGTGTGCAGAAGTGCACAATGCACCATGCAGGCTGGGGAATTTATAACTTTGTCGAACAGATTGCCGAGTGCAACGAGATGGAAACAAAACACAATCGATGATGATGGACGGTCATCGTCAAATGACAAGTGAAATCTCTGGCGATAAATAAAAAGGGATGCGCAACGGGCCATCGGCGGACCAAAAGAGGAAGGATGCATTGATTAGACCATTAAAAAGTGTTTTTTTATTTTGAGTCTGTGGATAAGCAGCAACGAAAAGTTAACATATCTTGACAAATACTGTGCTTATCAGATAAACATCACTTTGTGAGAGGAAACCTCATAACACAGTAAAAGAAAACAAATTCAAGTTCAAAACGTCAAACAACAAATTTGCTAACTTATTAAGGTGTAAAAGTACCTTTTGGAACTTTACAAATATTTTATAAAGTTAAGAAAAAAATATAATTTTGAACTATTTTGTAAGTATTTAAATATACTTATATAATTTAAAAACAAACGCCAGTCTTTAAATCAATTCTGTTGGAAATGGTGTACTTGAAAAAAATAGTGTACCTTGAATTCTGAATCAAATTCTTTACGTATTACAATTAATTAGATATATTTTTCATGAATTTGCTTTCTAAGTGCACAGTGTGTATAAATTAGAAATATAATTTTTTGGTGTACAGGATGTGTTAATTAGAATAGAATACCAATAAACCAAAAGCCACGGTGGAGTGCAAGGTTACTGGACTTGGAATTCGCTTTTTGATGACGCGTTAAGGGGTCGAAATGCTTATTTATGGCACTTGTGTGCATTGCATCGGGATACTCGTGATAGTGTGCGAGAGCGTGTGTTTGTGTTTGTGCATTTAGGGAACTGCAACTGATTGCCCCTGCAGATACCATAGCTAATGCCATGGAGCGAGCGGCAAACAACAAAGGACGCCTGTTGGCCTGGCCAGAACGCTCAAGTTTGCCAGCTTTGTTTGCCTAATAAGCTTTTGAACAGGCAGTGAGTGTGCGAAAGAGACGGTGCATGCTGTGCAATGTGTGCCAGAGGGGGAGGGAAGGTCAGTCAAGTGCTTCTTGGTGCGCTTAAATTCATCTTGCTCCTTGTGGAATACTTACTTACACGTCAATTGTCTAATTTATGACCTGACCCTTTGCTTCATTTCTCATTTGCAGTGCATAAATATTTAATTTGAATTAAATGCGACCCAACGAGGAGCAAATTTAGAATATTTGGGTAAGTCCCAACAAGCATTTCCCTTTCTTTACATGCGGAATCAAATGTGGAACAACACTATTAAAATTACTTAATTATGCGAAGGGAAAATCTTTTGCCCAATTAATTGAGAAACACAATATTAGACTGGCCTCTGTTTGATGTAAGAAATGGAATTTCCACAAAAACATATAAATACTCTTTTAATAATACTTTATGGTAAAACACTCACATGTTATTTAGTAAATAAGCAAAATAAATATAAGTTCCCCAGTAATTTTGAAAACAGCAATAATGCTAAAAATAATCTTAAAAATAGAATTACTGATAATTAGTTGATCCATTTAATACGTATTACTGTAGTAATAGGTAAATACATCATACTAGTATTGCTCCCATAATTTAGCAGCAATCGTTCCCATACTTAAGAGTGCCAAGGGCGTGCGGATTAAATTACAGGGCAACCTGGCTAAGTGCAATTAGTGAACTCACCTCGTTCTTCCATCGAGGGTCCTGTGTAGGTGCGGTGGGTAATATCGCTGCCGGCAACTAGATCGCCGAGTGCTGTTTTGTGCATTTTGGTGCCAGTGCTGAATAAATTGCAGAGTTGTACAGATAATTAAGTGCAAATTACAAAACAGAGTGCGTGGGAGTAAGTGTGGGTGTGGGGGTAAATAAACAACCAAATGCTCAAGTTGATTTAGCAAATTACGTAAATCTTGTTTATTGCGGAAAGAAAGTGACTTGAGGTTGGCATTAATCGGCTTAGGGCATTACGGATACAATGGCCAATTACCAAGCCGAGGAGCCGAAGGACATGATCCCAATGCAATGGCTTTTTGCATCCTGGCCGGCATAACAAATGAATTGTGTCTCCAGCACAGACGGCTCGGCTCACTGGGATATTTACGGAGATGGAATGCATTAAAATCAGATTACATCAATGCTCGACAAGTGCCCAGGGAGCCGATTAGTACGAGTGCTCGCTCGTATAGTTGAGTTGCTTACTCGCCGCCAGCTGGACTTATTCATTAGTTGGCTTTTTAACCGGAAATTGTGGCATACCCAAGTGAGTCAATTATTTTAAAAGCTTTTTGCATAAAGTTTTCAGCTCCTCGGTGGTTAAGAGTGCTAGCAGCAGCAGCAGCAGAGTTAATGAAAGCCAGCGTGGGTGGTCGGTCTTTGGTTGGTCGGTGCAGGAATTCAACAGCAATCGCAGACATATGTGTGCGGGCTCTAAACTTTTCGAAAAAGTTCCCAGTCGAAGATGCCAACGGAAAGTCAAGGGGAGGTGAAGGGGGAGTCAAGAAGTTTAGCAACTTCCCGGCTAGCCGCATACTTAGGTGGGCTGGGAACCGTGGGAGCCGGGCCCGGAGCTCCAGATCCCGTCGTGGAACTCTGATCGCCGTGCGCGTAGAAGGTGTGCAGGTGGGGATGCGAGTGGGAGTGCGGACCGGCGTCCACCACCACCACCACGTCGGGCTCCATCTCGATGCCACTGTGGTGCACCGACGGCGCTGACGGCGGCTTCTTGTGGGTGGTCACCACTTCCACCACCACGTCGTCATCGTCGTCCAGGGTATGGGGACTGTGCGAGGCGAGAACCAATGGGTTGTTGATGCCCCACGACGGCGGGTGCAGGTAGTGCGGGTAATTCGAATAAATCTCGGCCCGTATGCGGTCGTCATAATCGTCGTCCTCCTCTTCGTCCTCCTCCTCGGCATTCCCATCGGGATCCTCGTCCTCCGTTTCGTTGCCCTCCTCCCCTTCCGGATCGGGGAGACCTCCGCCCGGCTCGTCGTGGTACTCGATATTGTTGGTCAGCAGCTCGGTTCCGTTGCTGCCACGGTGCCTCTGCCTCGGCTTGGGTCTCGTTTTCGGTTTCCCTTTCGGTTTTGGCCGCGGCTTTGCCTTCGGTCTCTGTTGCTTCAATTTGGGCAGACCGTTGGGGAAAAATATTAGTCTATCTGGAAGGGGGATTGTGGATGGGGGGAGAAAGGTGGGTGGTCGTTGGGGGAGGGGGCATGCGTGCGGAGAAATAGAGAAAAACATTTAGTGCTGGTGCGGTGCAAATTGTTGCTATTAAACCAAGTGTGCAACAGTGTGTGTGTGTGTGTGTGCGCGAGTATTTAATTAGTGCAATTAGTGTGTACTTGTATAATAAAATTCAGCGAAACGAGAGGAGAGGATGGGATCATCCTGCTCTGGGGTGCTGTTAATCCATTAGTGCAGGTGGCCAGGTGGGTGAAGTGGAAAATGAAATTATGCTTTAAAGTGTTTGGTGGTCTGGCGTGGGGAAATCAAAGCTTTCAACCGACCGAGATTCTTCTAGCCCTACTCCTGCACATTAAATAGCGAGAATGACAGGACAACGACTGTGTATAGTAGCTTCTCCTTCGGAGTGTTAGTATAGCTTGGACTAGCGGTAGACTTATATCTAGGGTTAGAGAGTTAGATCTAGAGGTGATTTTGCTTGTTTGTTTCGGTGCAATCAATCTAAAGCACAGACTCAGTTCGCTGGGTGGCAGTTAACTTTAGCGAGTGACTGTATGTAATTATGGGCTGTTAGCTTACTGCTACATCAAACTTGGATAGTGACAGATACAGAGCGAGATAGAGAGGGAGAGGTATATAGAGAGAGAGATAGAGAGATAGCACGGCAGCTTTGGTTTACATTGATATACATTCGTATACGTGATACTTAGGATTACTGAGCATAGCTAATATTCGTACAGTATGATAGATATTGGATATAGGCATATTGATTACTGGTTACTGATCGATCGCAGAACATGGGTTTCGTTTTGGGTTTCTCTAGTTGGTTTTTGATGCAGAAGCGTGCGATAGTTTAGTTTCTGGTTTTGTTTAGGTTACTTAAATGGTTAGTTTTAGGCTAGTTTCGGTTTTGAGCGTTTCACAAAATTACAATAACCAAAGGAATCGAAGTCGAAACGGAAAAGGAAACGGAAAATCAACTCAGAATTCAGTTAAGAACTAAATCAATTTCGGTATAGGCAGGTAAAGGTGATCATCATTTACCGTACTCATAACACAAGAACTTGATACCAGAGGTTGACAGAGAAAGAGAGACACATAAGAACAGAGGACAATGAAAACAAAAACTACGTAGATTTTCCACAATTTTCAAAGCGTTCGCTTTCGCTTTTTTTCTTTTCTTTTTTTTGGTTTTTTTCTCAGCTGTTTGTGTTGTTGCTTGTTGTAGTTGTTATTGGTTGTTGTTGTTGCAGTTGTTTTGAGAAGTCACGGTCAACAGTTCAGGCTCGCCGGACGAAACTTACCCACACACGGATTGTGATTAACAATATTAAAGATACGATCACAGCGCTTTTTCATATGGTTGTTCGGGCAGATGCATCCGAACATCGGCGACAGGCGCAGGTTCGTCCAGGAATCGTGGCAGGCGTCCCTGCAACGATAGCGATAATACCCCGGTTAGACACTCGTTCCATCCCAATCGGTACTAAGCCGTTTCTGGCTTCTTTCAGCTCCAGAACCCGGCTAATTGAATTCATTTCGAGTCCCTAACCGCCGCAACCGAAGCCGCATCGCCAGCGACTTCCGTTCGGGGCATGCAAAGTTTAAAATTGCCAATTACATCAAAAATGCATGTGCACTTTAAGAAACTTCAATTAATCCTCTTCCAAAATGTGCAGGAAAAATAAACACTAATTTGAATTTTATGTGGTTTCAGCTTAGGGGCTTAAGTTCTTTATATAAATGCGATAGTTGTTCCTACAATTTATGATTTTATGCTTTGTGTGAACGGTATAAAAAATATTAAATTTAGTTTTGAAACTTAATATTTTTAAATATTTATAATTGTTAAATGTTACTTTTTTTTGAGTGTACCCACACGGTGCTGCAATTAATATTTTATCGCATAGGTGGATCTCAGCCCGAACCCGAACCCGAACCCGCAGCCAGAATGCCTGGCATGCGTGTGGAAAGTTTTAGGCCGGGTCGGCGGGCCAAAGGGAATGTAAGTTGCAGTGGAAGTGGAGAACTTTAAGACCAAGTTTGAAACTCTGCGCCGAAGTCAACTCCCAACTGCCGGGCGCCCAACTCCCAACTTCCAACAGCCGCCGCAGAAAGTCATTTCGAGTTATTAAAACATTCAGAACGTTTGTATTCAAGTGTATCGGGGCAACGAGCCATCCAGCCATTCAGCCATCCAGGCCATGAGCCAGACGAGTCCTGGCAGGGAGGAAATCGCGTCAGTACGGATATGTGATGGCTAAAGGAAGCAGCAAGATGCCGGCAAGCAGGAAGTTTCATTTCGCCTTCTGTTCGCTCAACTTGACTTCTGTTTACGCGGCTGTCTGCTGTATGCGTTGTGTTTTTTGCCAATAAAATCGAATATCGAAATTGAATGTTGCAAGGTGGCTTTCCTTGCTTTTTAACCCCGGACAGGAGGACAGGTTGGCACATTCCACTCCACTCCGATTCGCTTTTTACCGGCTGCCAATGCAAATTGCATTTTCAGTTAACCGTTAAGCGGCATGACCACTTTGCGGCATGAAGCAAATCAATTTTCTTATTAAGTCAAACACGCTTAAATTTAATTTTCATTATCGGAAATGGCTCTTGGTAGTGGACTTCGATTTTCCATTTTCATAATTTAACCGACGCTTTAATCGTTATGTTTGCGTTCTGCCACAAAACGAAGTAATCATTTGCAGTACTGACGATATTGTTATTCAGAATAATGAAATTGATGCAAGTTTTTTTCTATACTTTCGTTTATACCTTTTCAAGGCGAATTGGGTCACTTAATAATTATCTCTTTTCGTTCGGTGGACTAAAAAGGCTTGACAATGTTGATATGAATATTTTATAGATATGGATTTTTATATGTGGTTAGTGGGCAAAAACTAGGTGGGTAATAAATCCTTTCTGCGAGCAATATTAATAATCAAACATGATATCTTTACTGTTGATTATGTATTGGGTTTTATAGATAAAAAGTTATTTTTGGCAAAGCTTTTTTGTATTATATTTAAATACTGAATTTGTGATGATAAACGGAGAACATTATTTTGGGTACGCTTTATTACCAACACAGCAAATAGTTTTAATTAATATAATATGTTGTGCCTCATTTATATTATGTCTCATTAATTATCTTATTAAATTAAAGTATTATAGATCGAAAACCAGAGAGGCTTGTAAAATAATACTCTTAACAATTTTTTAGCCCTTGTCTTACCTGTTTTCCATTTTGCACTTGTTGTCGCGCACTTTGCAATGCGTTTTGAAGTCCTCGAAAAGCTTCAGGCATTTTCGTTCCTGTTGGCAGACGGACAGAGCATGGTTGCATGTTGGTAGTGCATCAATGGGATACGGATCCTTTTCGGCTGCAGATTAATAAATATAACATTTAAAATAGAAGTTACCTTTAAAATGTACAACATCCTTACCTTTCTTCAGCACAAATCCGCAGGGATGATCGAAGAGGAAGTCCCGAAAGTGGTTGCAGTCGGGATCCATGCCGGGCTCCTTGCAGAGGCAGGTGGGCCGGAAAAACTGGAAGGCCTGCAGGGTGCGGAGGGCTGCCTGGCACTTGGTCACCGTCACCGTGCTGCAGGACACTGCAAAAGGGAGGAGACATGGCGGATTCAGTACAACATGTTGTGGCAAGTGAGTGACAGTTGAACCCATTTGGGGGATTGGGTGGATATGCTTAATGATCTATAAATGGCAGCAGTGCTTAAACTTTGACATTTAATGTCGTGCTGGTTCATTTTCGGAGCTGCACATCGATTACCAACTGTATAAGTGGACACACTGAGCAAAACTATAATCACATTGTTTGGTTTAACGAAATATATATAACATGTTAGTTTCGACATATTTATTTCTATACCTTATTATTCTCTTTTTATACCCTTGCAGAGCAGAGGGTATTATAATTTCAGTCAGAAGTTTGCAACGCAGTGAAGGAGACACCTCAGACCCCATAAAGTATATATATTCTTGATCAGCATCACCATCTGAATCGAAATATGTATGTACGTCTGTCCGTCTGTCCGTCTGTCCGTCTGTCTGTCTGTCCGTCTGTCCGTCTGTCCGTCTGTCCGTCTGTCCGTCTGTCCGTCTGTCTGTCTGTCCGTCTGTCCTCCTGTCGGTTTCTATGTAAACTAGTCTCTCAGTTTTGAAGCTATCTTGCTGAAACTTTCCCAAAAGTTGTGTAGTTATTGCACGCAGTATATAAGTCGGAACGAGCCGGATCGGCCGACTATATCGGATAGCTCCCATACGAGAGAATGGAATAAAAAATTCTTACTCCGTTGTTTTTGATCAGATCGACTTGATTTCTTCCAGATGTCGTTTTCTAACTGCTATTGAATTTCGGATTAAATTTGATCAAAATCGGATAACTCTATCATATAGCTGCCATAGAAGAGATCAAAAAATATATATAGAATTAATAGAAATAAATTGATAACATCGTTGTTTTTTATCCCACGAGCATGATTTTTTGAATATCAAGTTTTTTAACAACCCTTATATTGAGAAAAAAGTTTCATAAAAATCGGACAACGATTTCTTATAGCTGCCATAGGAAAGATCGAAAAATATATATAGAATTAATGGGAATTAATTGATAACTTCGTTGTTTTTTATCCCACGCCCATGATTTTTATTTGAGTATAAAGTTTTTAAGAAGCATTGAATTATAAAAAAATTTCGTTAAATTCGGACAACGATGTTATATAGCTGCCTTGGGACCGATCGAAAAATCTATACAAAACAAAAATATTACATCTCTGTTTTTATACCCTTGCAGAGCAAAAGGGTATTATAATTTCAGTCAGAAGTTTGCAACGCAGTGAAGGAGACACCTCAGACCCCATAAAGTATATATATTCTTGATCAGCATCACGAGCAGAATCGAAATCCGTCTGTACGTCTGTCCGTCTGTCCGTCTGTCCATTTGTCCGTCTGTCCGTTTCCGCGCAAACTAGTCTCTCAGTTTTTAAGCTATCGTGCTGAAACTTTCCCAAAAGTTGTGTAGTTGTTGCACGCAGTATATAAGTCGGAACGAGCCGGATCGGCCGACTATATCGGATAGCTCCAATACAAGAGAATGAAATAAAAATTCTCACTCTGTTGTTTTTGATCAGATCGACTTGAATTCTTCAAGATGGCGTTTTCTAACTGTTATTGAATTTCGGATTAAATTTGAACAAAATCGGATAACTCTATCATATAACTGCCATAGGAGAGATCGAAAAATATACATAGAATTAATAGAAATAAATTGATAGCATCGTTGTTTTCTATCCCACGAGCATGATTTTTTGAACATCAAAAACCCTTATATTGAGAAAAAGTTTCATAAAAATCGGACAACTATATCTTATAGCTCGAAAAATCTATATAGAAATAACGGAAATAAAATTATAACATCGTTGGTTTTTATTTGATAAGCATGATTTTTGAAATTTAAAGTTTTCTAACGACTCTTGAATTACGAATTAAATTTGATGAAAATCGGACAACTATATCATATAGCTCCCATATGATCTATAGTCGAAAATATGGAAAATGAATAGAAAAATCGTCTTAGCTTCGATGTTGTTTAGCCTTTATGTATTTTTTTCGACATATTTGACGACTGCAAGGGTATATAAGCTTCGGCTTGCCGAAGCTAGCTTCCTTTCTTGTTTAAAATCGAATTATTAAAAAATTCAGTAATAAGTTTGTTCCTATAATTTTTTCTTTTAATTTTAAATCGAGATGACTCATATGACGTAGTACTTTTTTCCTGTGCAGGTGTGGGCCATGACAGTTGTTATAAATGGCAGCCAGACAACTACAAACCAGACACATGTCATAATAAGAGCCGAGAGAGAGGTTACAACAACTACGATATGAATAATTGAGTCTCCAAACAAAACGGTCGATTTAAGCGGCCAATGAAGCGATGCGCCGGGAACGTGGTCCGGATAATATTTTATAACATAATAAATTATGTTTCACATAGACTACGCACACTTCAGGATATCGGGCGAACGTGGGTGTGTGACAGCTTATTCGAGCATATGACAACTACTGCGACAAACAAAAGGCAAACATCTGTTGGCCATCTATTGTCCTTTTGGCCATAAAACATAAGCCCTACTAATAAACCCGGCTACGCCAACACTTCACAAGCACAGCCAACAAAACCGGAGACGCACACACACTCAGACTCACTCACACACACACACATACAGATATATAGACTCGTTTGGCTCGTCATAAGCCGTAAAATCGCCAAAAAGCAAAACAAGCAAACTGCCGGACAATGGGAGTCCGGCATAATGGGAAGCGAGTGGTGGTGGCCACCACGCCATGTGGTTCACGTCACTCAACTGACCCTATCCCAATTCAAACCACCCTTTTCCCCCTTCCATCCGTTTGGTAACCCATGTGATTGCCCCACGACCTCCCAATAACGCCCTTGTCCAGGCAGACCGGACATGATTATTTGCTAGTTGAACATAAAGTTGCTTCCGCACGGGCTTTTTGGGAGGAGATTTCTGGAGTGGGAAAGTGGGGCAGAATACACACAACGCAACATCGACTGCGCAACAAGTGACATTTTTCACAGGCATCCATCATTTTTATGCTCCCCCCTGGTGCCACAGGGCTTTTATTTTTTCTGGATTGTCCCTTCGGTTTTCGGGTTTGGGGATTTTTGGGTCCCTTCGTGGTGTCAATTAAAACTCTTTGGCTGCAGATCAGAGGCGAAACGCAGAGTACTTATGTTCTTACACAAGAAAATGGAAAGAACTTTTTTGAAATATTAAAAAGAGGGCTTCTCCAATTAAACTACAAACGAACGATTAATCCAGATGCCCCAGAAAATGTTTTTGCTTTCATAGATGGAAAAAAGGTGATTCCCTTTTAAAAACTCGTTAAATTATAAAAAAATATGAAGTTATGTTCACAACATGCTCGTTATAGTGAAAGGTAAAAGGCAAAGTCATAAACTTTTACAGACAAACCGGATTTTGGTTTTAAGCTAAGGGAACTTATTTCATTGGGGACACTTTTTACTATGTTTCCAAAATAAAGACTATTTTTATGCTTTTAAAACAAAAATGTAAAGGCGCTTATCAAAAAATGTGTAGATTAATAAGCCCTGAAGTGTTTTTTTAGCCACATTTTAAAGTGTATAAGTTTATATTTTTGAAAGTAGCAAAGAATTACTCAAGTAGAGACTATGAAATAATAACTATTAACTATATAGTAACTATTAACTATATTTATTCAACCAAATTTTATGAAACAAAACGAACTAACCTGAAAACTCTTTTTAGTCTCTTATATCATTCTGCCATTACATTAACTTAAGAGCTTAGTAACCTTGAGTTTGTATAAAATGCTAAGTTTTTGTGCCTGTGTGGCGTTTGCTGCATTTGATGGCTGGCTAGCTAACTAGATTCCCGCTCTTGGCCCGCCGCTCCTGGCCATCGACCACCGGTTGTTCTTGGCTAGTGGCACCTGGCTTTGGTTTCGTCATTGCATGCTGGGCAGTCATAAAAAATAAAGCCAAGGCGAGTGGTTTTTATGCTTCGTCGCCATCAAGCGACGCCATTTGCTGTTTGTGCTGCTTTTTTTTTCACTGCCGCCGCCATTGCCCTTGCCTTTTACTGTTATTGTTAAGTCCTCAATTCGTTTTTATTCGAAACGCGTTTCCGGTTGTTGAGTTGGTCGCTGAATTGGTTCAATGATTTCTTTGTTTGTTTCCTACTTTTTGTTTTTGTTGTTGTTGCTGCCAACTCTGAGTGTGTGTTTGTGTGTGTGAGTTTCCCGTTTTTTGCCGTGCTTTATTTGATTTTAGTTTGATATTTGTTTTCCTTGCCCGGTCATTGTTTTTATTATTTTTTGGCTTTTTATGGCCGTCGGTAGGTGAAATTTATGAGTCATTTATTAAGTTTAGGTAGCCATTCGGGGGCAAATAAATTATTATCGAGCATATTAATTACGAGTGAGTTAAGCAGGCGCTGGCACTTTGTGTTTGAACTATTTCGGCCGGAATGTCCTGTTTCCTGCGCGGACACACATGTGTGTCCTTTGTGTCCCTGTTGAGCGTGAAACGTGCAACGTGCGCCGTACACGGTGCACCGTGCAGTGGGTGTGCTTGTTGATTTTATTGAACCATCGACAAGTGCCCCGGTGGCTCAAAGTGAGTGCAGCATTTTAAAACGGAAGTGGAATGCCGAAAAGTATGCCATGCAAAGGCACGACTGCTGCGCTGCAACTTCCGGCGAAGGAAAAGCGAGCAAAAATATGTTTATCGCCCAGCTGGGGCATCGAAGCTGCTTTTAAAGGCTTTCCCCGGTCGTGCCGGCGCATATTCGTATGACAGCCGGGTGAAATGCGGGAAAAGCGGGAAAAGCGGGCTGGGGAAATACGGGAAACCTGCATGAAATGCAATTATCATAAATATTCAGACGCGGCTTGTGAGCGGGCGACCTCTCTCTTTAAGGCACATCCATATTTGGAGGACATTTAAAGGACAGCCGCGCGACAGCCATTAACCTGCACAGCAAACAAAAAGTAATTTCGCTTTTAAATGAAAAAGTTCAAAGTGCGTTTGTTTATGCCACTCACACACACTCACACACAAACACACCCATATGGCCATAAAAACAAATGCCAAATGATTTTTGCTGCCGGTATTCTGTATGTGCTCCACCTCCCCTATGACAAAAATTAGACGCTGGCCAGCAATTGTAATCGTAACTTTTTATTATGATGCGTTGGCATTTGCAATCGAAATTGAATTGGAGAAGGGCTCGGTTGAAACAGAGGATAATATGTTTAAGCCACCTTGAATATATAACCGCTTTACAAGACTTTTTCTTCAATTTAAACTGAGATATGCTGCTGGTTGATTTTCTCAATCGATTCTATCAGTTTTGTTTTATTTAAATTGTTAAGACGCTTTTTAGCAGGCACTAATAAAACTGAAAGATTCTGTTTAACATTTTTCATAGTCTTAATTGTTATTAATTTATTATTTTCATTACTTTTATTAGCTTTTACTCTATTATTCCCAAGACACGAGCCTTGCTTAGGAAATCCGTTCGCTGGATATAAGAACCTGACATTGTGCGACTTCCTGTGTAAGCATGGCGACCGTGAAGAACCCGCCAGTTGTCAAAAAGCACAATGCTGCCTGGAGATTGCTTCACTATCCACTGTTGTTCATCATCCTTAACAATTCGCAGGAGCTGACGAAGGCTCTCATAGAATTTCCCCATTTCGGACTGAGGTATGGTATCAAATACCGCTCGATCGTAGACATTCAACCTGAGTTGAACGAATTCCTGGGTGAGGGGATCCACCTGGATAATGGGAGCCGTATGACGATGGTGCTCCCCCTTTTCGATATACTCCCCGGGAACTTGAACTTTACACAACAGATCATAAGCTGCTGGAAATTGGCGTTTCAGTTCGTGGACGACATGCAGACCATCCACAAAGAAATTTTCTCCACCGGAACCCGAGTGTTCGAGGCAATGAAGTGCCTGCAGTCCGGCTGCATCGCAGAAATACGTATTATCCGTGTGGGAACCCAGATATAATTTCGTGTAAGCGGTGTCCGCGTGATCGGGCTTGTCGCTAAAGGTCCACATTTCACCAAAGAAGGTTTTCATCAGCGGAAAAACTGTTCGCAGGGCCAACTCGGTCATGTTTGCTGTGGGGGCCACGTCATCGATGAAAACAATGCCATACCGAACTAGAGATTCAACAAGAGATTTTACAACCTCATCGCTGGAAACCAGTTCGGTCAAAGAGAATCTCAAGTAACGTTCGTTCTGCAAAATAATGCTGCGATTCCAGGGCGTCAGATTAGTGGACTTTGATCGCCGGCTTATCAGACGATCCAGCTGGGAATGGAAAATAAAGTCCAGATCGTAATTCGACTGGTGGCCATCGCTCCCTAAGATTATATTCATAGTTTTACTGGGAGTAAGTTACATATTGTATTTTTCCACTCACACGAAACTTGGAGCACTATCCCTTCGTACTTCACCTCCAGTGATTTCACATCAGCTGGAAGGTCTAAGAGATCGTAACGCCGTTGACTTGTATCCAAATTTAGGCACTCTCCACAACGGCAGTGGTCACGGAGCCAAAACTCATTAACCTCCAGAGTTTGTCCGGTTTTCGGATGCTTTAAGATCAACATTTTTCTAGGTATATTGCGACCAGCAGATTCGAAGAGTGAAAGTAAACTAATGAAGCCAGTGCTGATAATGAAGCTGATGAGCTTCGACTTAAACAAATTCTTATCTGTGAGAGAGGGATCGCCTCCCACTCTTCGTTAAGCCGGTGATAAGAAATATATTAATCTCTGTTTTGTTTGGTGGCAAAGACTAATTTGCAATATTATTTTTAGTTATTCTTATCAGTAAATATTCTTTAAAATTTGAAACAAGTTTTTTAAGACCTATTCCTTGATTATTTTATAAAAATTTTGCTCAATTAATGATTATAAATGAAAGATTTTTCCAATATAATTTTTTTTAAATATGAAAATGTTTTTTTTAATTAATAAACTTTCAACTTATTTTGAAAACACATATATCTCACCAAAACAGGCGCCTCTGTAAAATTTCAGTTACTTTCATTTAGGGTAACATTGTACTTCACAAATTTTTTAAAGATTTCGGAGAATCAAAAGCCAAATAAATGAAGCCCTTCACAACTTCCTGGGCCGACGAGGTGGAGGCGGACTACGTGGGTGGTCTGCCGCCATCGAATGAGTACATCGAGGGCGACTACAAGTATGTGACGGAGTACAAGTTCAACGAGGAGGGCAAGAAGGTGAAGGTGGTGCGCACCTTCAAGATTGAGAAGCAGATCGTTCCGAAGGCGGTGGCTCGTCGTCGCAACTGGGTGAAGTTCGGGGACTCACGCATGGACAAACCTGGTCCTAATTCCCAGACGACCATGGCCTCCGAGGAGATCTTCATGCAGTTCATCGGGTCCAAGGAGTTCGATCAAACCCACGAAACGCAAATGGATGCCGGCAAAAATATCGCCAGATGCCGCATTTGCAACGGGGAGCACTGGAGCGTTAATTGTCCCTATAAGGGCACCTCGATGGACAGCAAGACCGTGATGGAGAACAAGGCCAATGCTGCCGCCGCAGCTGCCATCAGCGATCCCAACAAGATCGGGAAATACGTGCCGCCTTTCATGAAGGAAGGAGGAGGAGGCGGCGGCTCCTCTGGCAAGGGTTGGGGTCGCGAGCGGGACGATTCTTCGGCGGTTCGCATATCGAACCTATCCGAATCCATGACCGAACCAGATCTGGAGGAACTGGTGAAGAAGATCGGTCCGCACACCAAGATTTATCTGGCTCGCGAAAAGAACACGGGTCTTTGCAAAGGTTTTGCATATGTGCACTTCAAGTTCCGCCAGGATGCAGCCGCTGCCGTGGAAATCCTCAATGGGCATGGCTACGACCACCTGATCCTATCCGTCGAGTGGTCCAAGCCCCAGCTTTAAAGGGTATACCCTTCTATGCATGATTTTTAGTTTAAACTCGCTCACGGAAATGAGAAACGCTCGCAAAAAATCAAAATAAAGCATGTGTGCACTTCGAGCAAAATATAATCTATTATATGTATTTAATATTTGTTGTTGGTTCTGGCGAAAAGAATATTTATCAATGTAGAACCACTAAGAATTTATTTTATCATGTAGTGGGTAGATATTATATACATTGCTTGTACAGATTTTATTTAAATGTATTTAGTTATTTGAATAAGCTTAAGAAATCTTCACTTTAACAAATACTATAGGCACCACTTTTTGTGAGTGCCTGACGAAAAGAGAAAGTTCGCCTTGAGCAAAGTAAAGCCGTTAATACTCAGTTTTAAATGCGAGTTTTTCGCCGTGTTTTTCCACAACCGCACAAAGGTGAAAGCCACTTAAATGGAAGCCAACATGGAGCCGGCTGATGATGGCTTGGCGGGCGGAAGGCGGAGCTCGGCAAAAGCTGAGAAATGCCACAAGACGCTGGCCGAACTGAATGAACATTAATAATTAAATGTAAGTGCGGACTTATGCGCACGATACTCGGCTCGAGCCCGAGGAGCAGAACAGGGCAGAAACTACGCGACCATGACGATGAACCGGAGTGAGTGGATGGCGGATATATTCTATAGTTTCGCGGAAAAGTCCCGGCTTAGATACACATTTTGAGTAAGGGGCGGATCAAAGCGAGGCACAAAAGAAATTTATTTCCATTGTTGTTGCTGCCCCGGTGGGTGGGGCAGCGACTAAAGCAGAGTCTAAAACAAATTACTGAATAATTTATAAATTAACTTTTTCTGCGGCGCGCTTATTCGTCGGTCGTCGTTCTTTGTTTGAGCGGCAGAATGAATATGAAGGTGAGTGAAGTGGGTGGCAGGCAGCGAATGGGGGCATGGAACCCGGATGAGGAGGACCCCTCTGCCACGCATTTCTTTTTCATTTTGCACCTTCAGGTCATATAAGCGCCCCACACACTCACAGGTTCTCTAGGGAACGAAAATTAAAGGAAAAGTTAAAGTTAGGAAAATACTCGCTAGTCGAGTTTAAGGTTTATACTTCTGTACCAAACAAATATGCAAACTTCACATATGTCATAAAAAGTAAGAGCTCTGATAAAGCTCTAAAAATAAAAATGAATGTATTTAAATGTTTAAATCGTGTTAGCTGAGAAATGACTGGGCAATCAAAACGGATAACTCATTTTTTATTAAACGTTTTTAGATTCTTTTCATAGATTCTTCAACAAAAAGTTAAAATAAATATAAATATAATAATAAAGTTTAAATAAATATATAATCGATTGCTATTAAAGAGTGCTTATATTCCAGGACTCTCCTATGTACAGGGTATTGCAGGAACAGGCCATCGACTCGACTCGACGGGCGTCGCAGCTCTCTGGGGCATTTGAATATTCAAATGTCTTTCGCAGGCGTTTCGCGGCCGATATCCTCCTCTTTCTTTGTTGCGCTTTAAGGGTACACTGTTATTTACTGTTTTATTGCACGCGCGCCTGCTCACGGAACACACAAAAATTGCTGAAATAATTACACAGTTGTCGAAACAGCCACACAGAAGCCAGGGAGCAAATAAAAACGGAGTAAAAATAAAATATATTCAACCGACTCGCGCAGGCAGCGGAAATTAATTCTCAAATGACCAAAACTTGCGCATAATCAGCGCTGAACGCCGCGAGTTCTCAAGAGCTCTGCAAACACTTGACACAAAAACCCATAGATATTGTGTAAACATTTCCTCAGTGCGCGGTAAAAGTATCGATTTGATTTGGACCTTGTTTTGCCGGCTTGTTTATTTATTGTTTATTTACCTGGTATGGGTCCGCAGACACGCGGAATTATTTCCAGTATGGCCGAACATGATGGATCCTCGAAACAGAGCTGACGTGCCAGAATACAATTCAGTATGGCCACGACACCTTTAATGGTGGAACCTGAAAACAGAAAGTAAGGCGAATTAAATCAAGTTCAAAACATATAGTACTCTACATTTGTATTTTCTCATAAAATGGAAATTGGGCTATCGAAACCATTTAGCTTTAAAGAATTTTAAGAGTAAACTGAATAAAAATATAGAAACGTTCTGCAGAAAGTGACTCAATCAACCGAACAACATATTAGTTTAAAGATTTGCTTAAAGGTTGTATAGGGGCCGTCCATAAACCTCGTGACGCTAATTTTTGGCTTTTTTGACCCCCTCCCCCCCCTATGTGACGCATCACATATACAACTTACAACCTCCTTACAACAAAGCGTGACTCTCTGAAGAACCCCCCCACCCCCCTAGGAGCGTCACGAGGTTTATGGACGGCCCCATAACAAGTTAAAGCCAAATGTAAAACATTAATTTCAATTATTTGAATTGCTAGTCCAAGGAATCCGCTGAAAATCACGCCCAATGATTTGATCAACAGGTATGCATAATATCCTTGATAGGTTATTCCATTCTCATTGCTCTCCGCAGCGGACAATTCGAGACTCTGCTCTCCATACTAATTGAACTCGATAAATTCTTGGTCTACGAGAACCGTGGCGAGAATCCGCAGAATGTTTAATAACCGAATTCCAGACGGCAGCCACAGCGGCAACGTGCCACATGCAACAAGCAGGAGGAGCAGCAGCTCCCATGCGGTGACAACATTAAGCCAAATTTAATTAAATCCCCAGTCTCTGCTCAGTGCGATTTCTTTACACAAAAGATTTCGTACTGTATTTTCGTATTTTTATGTCAAATAATTGTGTGCAAAAAGTCCTCAAATATGTTGGCTTTTTCTTATTTGTCTTTATACACGTAATTGCGAATTGCCCATAAATATTTATGCGGGCGGTTTAATTATGTTAATTCAGAGTGAACGGTTTAAAGCATTTACAATAATTTGTATTGAAAATCCGAAACACGAAAGGGGCAGCAGGGAAAAAGCATCGCAATTATGTTTATATGTAGCTCTTAGTTTTTATCATAATTTTATGCTCTACGAGAGGTTCACGGGAAAAATAGAGAGAGAGCTGGCGGTTTATAAAACATTCATTTCAATTTCATTTCATTACGTAAAATAAACCAAGTCATCCGGGCAGCAGACTGGGAACAGGGGCTGCTGTCTATCTAAGCATTCGGCTTTATAGCCACTGCCTACCGGTCACGGTCCTTCCGCCAATCCCTCTTCATCCGCCGGATGCCCCGTAAAAGTTGCTCCTGACTCTCCTTTTTTTTCTTACCCCAATCCTCCCTCTGTTGCCATTGCTGCCCCACGCTCATTAACGAAATGACCGTTTGCATATTGCAAGTCCGGCGAAGGAGAAGGGGAGGAGAGGAGGTGGATCCGGAGCAGGAGCAGGATCCAGAGCCGGAATAACAAAAGAAGTGCCTTCAAAAATTCACGAATTGCAGGCGGACGCAGCTGAACTTACTCCGCGGCGACTGCAGGAAGTGGCCTACTGCCAGGACGAAACGAGAAGTAACCAGGACACACTGGCAGCATTTGCAGCAGTTCCAGCAGTTGCATGGCCGCAGAAGTTTCCACGGACTGCCAGTCGAATTGTTTGCGGAAACACAAATAAACAAAAGTCAGAGGGGAATGCCGCGGACGAAATAGCAAGTTTGGCTGGACTTTAAAGTGTTTTATGGTTATTGGGTGCTTTGGATTGCATTGAGATATGCAGCGCGCGTCTGGCCCGATGACAGCCAAGAAATTATCAGCACTTTTCGCTGGTTTGGGTAGCGGTGTGGAGCTCTGGTGGGAAAACTCGTGGCCGCAAATTGCCAACAGACCGGGACAGCCCGCTCAATACCCCCGCGACCCATTTGGAATCACTTAAAACTCACAAATCAAGCAAAAGTTGAAAACACAATAACAATTGTTTTGGGACACACCATAAATTTGCATGCCAAGAAGAGTAATGCTCCCGGCCACATAGAAAAAAGGCGAAATAGGCACATAAATATGCGACCGAGCGGCGGTCCTGTTCCTGCCCCACCTCCAAAAAGTCCGCCGACGACAACCAGAACAATTCGTTTGTGTCACAATCAGATTCGGCACAGGCACAAAAATGTTCGCTTTTCGCGTTTCGCGCTCGCCATGTTTCATGAATTATTTCCCCGAACCCCAAAAACTTTTCGACCAAAAACTTTGACTGCAGAAAAAGGCCAGAAAAAAAGGCGAAGGAGGCAAGACATTGACTGCGAACTCGGTAACTCGGAGCTGGTAACTGGGAACTGGTAACTGGTAACTGGCCAGTGTTGCAAGCCAACTCCCACCGCTGCTCAGCGTTGCACTGGGGAAAAGGATTTGCTTTAAGGACCAAGACCTTAGTATTCGTATTTGCAATGTGCAATACTTTTATTCGTGTGCGATCCTGCAATCTCGTAATTCGAATAAACAAACCACAGTCTTATTGACTGAGCCCAAACAAAATGGTTTACATTTCTTAATTTAAATTGAAACATATATAGAGCAATCCAAAATTTAATTAAATTCATCACCTGAAATATTTGTAATCATTATTATATTCGATTTAAGGTGCTAGATTGCCAGGATTCTATTATGTAGTAAACATTCCATTAAATAAGCATTTTTAAAGCTAACTTAATTTGGAAAAGATGAAACAAGGCAACTTAGTTTTTATTCTATTTTTATAGTGTGTAAATGAGCAGCTCGAGTAAAATTATTTTTACAGTGATCTTTGTGTTTTTGACTACTCCAAAGCTTAAGGAGAAATATTTATGTTAAAAGCCGAAATGTATTTTCGCATTTTTCTCTGTGTTCCTTGTTTGCGTTGATTCGTGCGGCGAACATTTCGATTACCATTTTCCCTGGTGGCGCGTTGCAGCGGGGGAATGTGCGGCAGGGGAAGGGGGATGGGGATTCCTCCAGTGTTTCGCATTTTCTGCAACTTCGCTGGAGTGTTGCCCCTTGCCCTCCGCCCTCCACCTCTACCTACAATCCCCTCCCGCTGACCTGCCTCCACTGGTGCTGCTTAAATTTCAATTGTGTGCCGGGGGCGCTGGCCCGACGCTGGAGCACTCTGGTGCAGGCTTTAATAAATTATGGCCCACGTTGGGGGTGGCGTTCGAGAGGTATTGTTGGGGTTGGCGGGGCTGCCGTTGCCGCTGGCCCTGCATGCCACTTGGAAAAAGTTAATACAACAAATGCGCTGCCTGCCACCCGGCAGCAAGCGGCAACAACAATTGCAATAACAATGACCGCATTACGAGGCCGCGAATCGTTGCTCGAAAAGCCAAGTCGGCGGCAGTGGCAACATCAACAACATGGCCGAGAAATGGCAGCTTTACAACTTCCGGCAGGCAAGGACTACGGACAAACAACCAGCCATCCAGTGCAGGACGAAGGCTCCTGCCACAGTAATATGTTCGCTGTGGCTGCCGCGTATTTTTTTTTATTTCTGTGCTCCTCTCTTCCTGCCCCACTGTTGCTCGGAGGCCATCCTTATGTCATTCGGGATTATTTTGTGGGTTAAAAACTAATTTTCGGTCATGAAGTGGATTTCGCTGGGTGCATGTTGCCGACACTCGCCGGCCCATAAATATGCAGCACTGCCACACCAGCTACACGGAGCTCACACAATTTGCATGGGCCATCGCTGGGTAAAACATTGATTTCGCGGCTCCAACCGGATCAGAGTAGTGACTTAAAGCCGGCCTGGATCAGCCGTAATAACACTCTTTCCGGGCGAGGCTGTTAAGGCAAATGTCAACAGTTGAAAGTGCGTGACCAAATTATTTCATTTCATTTTATTTAATTTATGGACCGGCCCCGAGTGGAAGTCCTTGTCGCCTCGCCTACTGGCATTTAAATTTAACTACAGTCAGACAATGCGAACAGAGCCTTGCACAAACAACATTACCAACATTTTCAACCCAACAGCACAGCAACGGCAGCACCAACAGCAACAGCAGCAACATAAAATGTCGCCTGCGGCCATTTTCATGGGCAACCGACCGAATTGGGTGTTGAAGTTGGTGTTGGGCCTTAACAAAAACAAGGGAAACAACATTCCAAAGAGAAGGCACTGAGGAAACGTGGCCTTAAGGAACTCGAATGGTGGATACCCCGCACTCGTCGTTGCCTAAAAATTTCCGGATTATTCGAAAGTACCAGCTTAACTGGCTCAAAAATAAACCCAAGCAATCTTAGCTGAATATACGCTTTACGTTTAGAACATTCGATATTTACAGTGTTCAATCTAAAGGGAATGATGAACATTTAAAATTTTAAATTAAAGCTTAAGCGTGTCAGGCAATATAGTACCATTAAGATATTTAAAAGTATCAAAATATTATTTTTTACCTATTCATATAAATTATGCGAAATATCTATCAAAAGAGATTGAAATAATAAACTGAATTGCTGTTTTATACAAGGTGTAAAAATAATTGTAAAGTTTTATATTAATCAATTTGCCATAGGGTTTGATATTTAATAAAAAGCAACACTTTTCTATGGGGTATGATAAATTTTTTCAGATACAGTATACCCCCAAAACATTATAACAGGGAGTATAAAAATCTGTAGTTCGAGGGGGCAGAGCAAAATAACGAGAATGCTGCTGGGGATTATGGTCAATTATGTGTAAATACAATTATTGTTATTGTTGTCGCCGTTTCACGATATTGTTATTGTTGTCGCCTTTATTAATGCTGTAGTTGTTATTGCCGTAGTCATTGATGTTTTTCCATAATTGTAGTTACCGCTGTGCAATGCATAAAATTTGTTATTTTCACAGCACGCCGGTCTGATGATCGATTCATTTAAATGCGCCAATTTAAAACACAAGCCAGTGACCTTCCCGCCCCCAGGATTCCTCGTAAGTGTCGTTCCCACTGCTATTGTCCTTGTTTGGTTGCTTGGCACGTTCCCCGTGATTTAAGTACATTTCCAACAAAAAAGGAACGAAATCAGGAAACAATAAAAGAAGT